AAGATTGAAGATCCCTGCCTTCCAGTTGGATGGCACTCGGCAGCAGCATTCACGGTAGTTTCTGATCACAATGGAAAGGCTCCGTGTCACACATCACTCCTGGTATGGCAAAATAAAAACATTACAGTGTGTCCTCATCTGCCTTATTCACCGGATCTGGCACCATGGGACTTCTGGCTCTTCCCCAAAGTCAAAATGATTCAGGACATCGAGGCAGCCACGACAACACAACTAAAGACACGCACGAAAAAGGACTTCCAGAACTGCTTCAGAAAGTGGCAAGAATGATGGGATAAGTGTGTTTGAAGCGAGGGGGAGTATTTTAAGGGGGATTAATGGCAATGTGTCTTTTAACTGTAATAAATTTTTTAAAATTTAAACACTTACCATATTGTTTGACCATACCTTGTATAGTTCTCTGAACATGCTAGGATATTTCTGTACTTTGGCATATGCTGTTTCCCCACCCCAAATGCCTTTGTCCCTTGACTTTATGGTATACGTCATACATCCTTAAAGATTTAAATTAAGGGTCTTCTGCGTGAATACTTGAATTCTCTCTGTAGTATTATAATCATTCTCTCCCTTGACTCCTGTTAAAGTCTGTGTATGCCCTATATATAGCACCTGTCCCAGTGTATTGTGATGCCTGCAGACCTTTCCTCCCTATCAGGTTACATGTTCATTGAAGGCAGTGACAATGAACATATCAGTGCCTGGCACATGCTTGGTGTTTGATACAAGTTGTTGAAATGGTTTAAATTAACTGTCATATCACAAGGTCCTTTATGTTATAACTTAAAGAAATACTTGCTACACATGACCAATCAGAGTATAATGATCATTAGAGTGTAAAAACCATGTTTCTGTCTACCATGAGAGCTGGGTAGGGTGTCATTCTGAGAAAATCAAATTTCTTTTCTACAAACTAGAAGCCTCTGTTTCCTCCCTTGGGTATAAAGGGATCCGACTCCATTCATTATCACGGATGGGGGTGAACTCCATCCATTACCACTACTCAGGTGAGCAGTATCAAGTTTGGCCAAGGAGCACTTGGTTCTCTCAGCCCAGTACCTTCACCTGTGCTGTACAGCCCACCCTCCCTTTCCTCCAACTCTTAAGCTTTGCGAGATTCACTGACAGCCTCAGATAAAGCCACGTCACTGTCTCTCATTGTTATTATCTCCATTGCACCATTACCTAGTCCTTTGACCTCAACTTTGCTTCCCTCCTGTCTTCCTCCTGGTACGGCCAGAGACGGACAAAGGGGGAGCAAAGACTACACAGGGCCTGGCTACATATTATGTACACCCGAAGGCCACCAGGTGACAGGCACTCACCTTATCCCAAAGAGAGGATGGATTCCGGGGCAATCCCTGAGAGAGCTGAGTTCACTCCGACCTCTCAAACCTTGTCTTGCAACAGCAGGCACGATACCCTCTCTAGCCCGGGGCCTGAAGTGTACACACTACCCGCTGCGGTTGCCTAGAAAACCCGCTCTCAGCCTGCGGCAACCTCGGGGTGAGAAAGGGGATAAAAGGGGCGGGGAAAGCAGCGGCCGAGCCCTTTCTGGATCACGTGGCGGAAAACTCCAACCAATCAGCAGAGGTAGGGTTCCACCCGGAAGACCCCGCGGATGCTCTTTGGAAACGGTGTGGAGCTTCCCGCCCGCGGGTCTTTCTGTGCATGCGCGCAACTTTTCACCTGCTTTCGCCAGATCAGAGGACCCGACTGGAAGCAACAAGCTGTGGGCATGGTGGCGGGGACCTAGCCGTCGCCTTCTCCAGTCCCGGCTCTCTCCTATTGAAAATCCTTTACCCTCAGAGCCTGGAAGTACAGAGCCTTGCTAGACTTGAACCCTCGCTAGGCGTGGCGCTGTGATGTCACAAGGTGGCCGGACGACCGTGACAGGCCCTGCTCAGGGCGTGGCTTCGCTCTGGCGGCCGGCCACTAACGCCTTCCAGGAATGTAGCTGACCGCCGCCCGAAGCCGCTGAGCACCGAGCGAGCCTAATCCAAGGACCACGCAGGCAAACAAACGCCCCGGTGCCCTCCTAAGAATAGATGGGCCCTCCATGGGTCTTTTTGTTCTCGGACAGGCTTTTGAGGGGCCGTTTAAGTATTCTAAAATGTTAAGGAGGCAAAAAAAAAAATCCAAAAATAAAGTCGAATTTCAAAAGGGAAAGGGAGGAACTTTTAAAAGAGTGGACCGAAGGGCTGAGAAATGAATGAACTTAGTAAAAGGCAAATCAAAGTGACCGCAGTTGTCATTTCATTCTCTAGATCTGCGCTGTCCGGTATGGTAGCCACGAGCCGCATGTGGCTGTTGAACGTTTGAAATGTGGCTAGTCCGAACTGAGATATGCTGTAAAATACACATAGTATTTTGAAGACTTAATATGAAAGGAAATCTTTTTGTTGATTACATGTTGAAATGATAATATTTTTGATACGTTGGGTTAAATAAAAGTGTATTATTAAAATTATTGTTTCTTTTCACTTTTTTAAGGCGTTGATTAGAACATTTTCAATTACATGTGTGACTTGTTTCTGTTAGACATCGCTATAATATTTCTTGTGGTTCACTTGGTTTGTGTAGAGTATTTACGACATTAAGTATATGGAAAATAGTGTCTGCAGTGCTCTTTTCCGTCACCAGATGGCCACCTCGTTCAATAGACTAGTTTTAAACTACTTTCTCAAGAAAAATATAGGAATGCAGATTTTAAAAACATTTCCACTAATCTAACAACTACCAACAATTCAACGTATTTGTCGTGATTCCAATAATTTTATCTGTAATATGACTGTTGTAAACATACATAAGCATGTAGAAAAAGATAAACTAATTTCCCCCTTTTACAAATTCAATATATTGGGGTGACATTGGTTAATAATATAAGTTTCAGATGTACAGTTCTATAATACATCCTCTTCTCTCTACAATTTTTTATTTCACAGGAATTTCAGTTTCCATCTTTCATTAATTTATTAATTAAAATTAAAGTTCTAGTTGAACAAGACTTACGTGGGCAAATTTTTATCTTAAACTGTAAAGACTAGAATATAATAGTTTAGAGATCTAACCTTTTAGATTAAGAAGTTGGATCAGAAATGATGTAAGTGAATTATCTACATCAAGTTTCTCATTTTGGGGATGCAGCTCTTTTGGATAAAAGTACAGAGATTATCAAAGTATATTGTTAGAAATCTATTGTGACTTTCCTAACCAGTAAAAGGTTGGGAGAGAGCTAACACACAGGTTTCTTTATATTACATAAACAAGTTTTTTTAAGAATATTATTTCTAGGTTAAGCTCAAGGATTGGGCCAGCCAGCAATTGAGTCTGAGTTCCTGTATAGTTATAGACTAATACTTTGGTGATTTGGCAAACTAGAGCCTTTGTCCTGAGTCATTCTTTAAGGAATAATGTTGTTAACATATTCCAGATGGAATTTGGAGCAAAAGGTGATTACAGTTAAAAGCCATATGAGGAATACAAAAACAGCATCAGTCTTGTTAATCTCCATTTCTCACTTTAAAGTTTCTTTATGATATGGTTTTGTGCTTGTGTACAGGAAACAATGGAAATTGACACCACTGAAAGTGAAGCAAATTAAAAATTCTAGGCGAAATAAGACTTCATTCATGTCTCTGTTCATACTCCTAGACAAAGGCAAATTTAAATCTATTTACTTATGGGTAAAGTTATCTTGAATCTGAAAACAATTGGGAAAATATATTACCACTGATTATAGCAAAGTTACTGCATCATTGCCTGATTTAAAGAAGAATCATTTAAAACAAAACAGAGGTGAATTTACAGACCTACATAAAATCATGAGTTGCATAATAATTTGTTAATTAAAACCTTTTTAATTGATTGTTAAATATATTTTCCCAAAAGCCCTATCCTTATTGGTAGAGAACTGTGAAGACATTTAAATGACAATTTGGCTTTGTAATGCCTTTAATTCCAGAGAGCTGAAAGTCTGAAGATTTCAAATGCTGATTTAATTTTTAAATTCTTGTTGACATTTGATTCTTATGCAAATGATACTTTCCAATTAATGATTTTATTAGATTATCTGTGAAAATTCTATGTCACACATTTGAATTTGATATAAAGAAGGAATGCAGCACAATTTAGGATTTACTTTGGCAGCGAAGAGATAATTATGTGGCTCTTCTAAAGTCATCAGCAGAGATCCTCTTATTATTAATGACTGGCAGTGAATATATATTATTCAATTAAAAGTTAGGAGTTGTTCTGAAATAAAATTTTAATTAGACCAACAGAATGCTATTTCTAATGAGTCTATCTAAAAAAGTTAAATAATCTTTGTCCATGATTTGTTGATATATAGTTAATGGCTTTTCTTAAAAGGCAGCCAGGATGGAATTTTAAAGAGCCACTTACTCTCTCTCAGACAATATAACCTCCTCATTTTATCATCCCAGTTGTATTGTATTTAGCTCTAAGATAGCAAATTGAGGGACGCTGAATTTAAGTAGTCTTAATCCACTAGAAAGCTGATCAGTTCTTTGTATCTCCATACAAATTATTTCCTCTTTACCTCCTTTCCTTTGTGTCTTTTATTTGCACCTTAGGCTCAGAAAGTTGAATGTATTCCTCAGGTCACACAGCAAGCACATTATCATCATTTGTCCATATTAGGCCCTTTTTTTTATCTCCACTTTTTCTCCATTTCTACCCCAACCACAGGTACAAATCTAATGTATCTTACAAACCTTGAGTTGTGCATTTATCTTTGTACATGGTTTTGATGTGTCTGTTAATATGGCCTTTACTAGATTAGCCTGTTGCTTGAATTCTTCTGGGGGTGTTGTCAGTGTCCTCTTCCTGCCCTGTCCTCAGTATCTCCTCACCCACTCTGTCTTAGCTCTTTTAGNTCTAGGTAACCTCTAGAAAGGAATGTAAAAATGTTCCGTTTAATATTCTTTCAAATGTGGTAGAAAAGAAATTTGGCTTTGACTCACCAGTTCTTTAATTATTTCTTCTTGGTTTAGGTTTTCACATTCAATCATCTTCCATTAAAAATAAGGGTCATAATAATATTATCTATTAGGGAAAGTAAAAAATTGAAGTAAATACTAGAATTATATCATTCCACGTTGAAAGGGACCTTAAAGCTAGTTAGGTGGACCTGCCCACCCATGGGTTGAAATCTTCACACAGTATATTACCAAGTATCTGGCCCCAAAACAGTCCATTCCATCTCTGAAGTTTTCTGTTAAAAAGTTATTTTTTATTCTGAATTTAATTCTGTCTCTCTATAACTCCTGCCCACGTGTTGTCATTCTACCTTCTGGGCTCAAATAAAACAAGTATAATTTTCTTCCACACTATGGAACTCCACCGCTTAAATAGTCATCTCTCATCTACTCCCTTACCGCATCCTCAGCTCATGTCTTTTAGTAGTTCTCTAAGTGTACTTAGCAAAAAAGAAAAGAATCCTCAGGGCTTAGAAACATACCTGGCATGGTAATAAATGTTTATGCAAATGAATTAGCCAATTCTTCATTTTAGATGATATGAACAGATTAATACCTAAATAGCTTCAATAAAATTTAAGCCAGTTTTTCATAATTTTTAATATTTTCATTATATTATTGCAGACACATACTATTTTAAAAATATAGAAATCCTGGTTTTAATATTATGACATGACAAAGCAAGGTGTAGAAATGGTGTATATTGTGACCCCACTTTTTACAATGACTCCCCCACAGAAATGTGCGCGCGCGCGCGCGTGTGTGTGTGTGTGTGTGTGTGTGAGTGTGTGAGATTATGCAAGGAGACAATATGGAAAGATACATACTAAGTTGTTAACATGAGTTACTTGAGATGCAGGTGAAAGCTGATATGGTTATAATAGGCCTGACAGATCTGATGGGGCTAGATCAGGGGGTGGCAAACTTTTGAGACAGAAGAGCCAATCCTGTCCCTCACAATAATTTAAAAATTATTCAAGAGCCATAAAACAAATGAAATCACCATAATGTGAATAATATCCTTTAAAAATTTTATAAATGAAACTCTCATAGTTTTATTTTCATTTTCAATTTTACTTCAGAGCCACATGTACGTACCCAAAGAGCCGTATGTGGCTCACGAGCTGCAGTTTGCTGACCCCTGCACTCGATCTAAGCAAAAATAGAAAAGAAAAAAAAAAACTGCGCTTTTTAAAAAGCACNGAGTGATTTGATGTGACATATTTTTAAAGGAACGGGTTGCTGTGTGGAGGACAGACTGATAGTAGTAAAAGGGTAAATACAGAGTGACCTGTTAGTTTTTTTTTTTTTTTTTTTGGTCAATAATGTAGGTTAGAGATGATGGTGTCTTAAACCAGGTTGGTAATGATGCAGGTGGTAAGAAATGGTCAGACTTTGGACATAGTCTAAAGATAGAGTTAATAGAATTGCCGATGGATTAGATGTGAAGTATGGAGGAATAAGGGGAGTCAAAAATGACTAAAGATTTTGGTTTAAGTTACTAAAAGAATAGAGATGCCGTCTAGAGAGGTGGAGAAGGCTGTAGGAGAAGAGGGTTTGGTGGAGGGGAAATCAATTTGAGTTAGGATAGGAGATGTTTATAGTTTGGAGGACTTGTTAGGGAAAGTAGAGACACCAATTTAGGAGTAATGAGTAGATAAAAGGTATTTAAAGTCATTACATGATGAAATTATTTAGAGAATGAAAGCAGACAGAAATGAGAAAATATCCCAGGATTGACCTGGAGGAGTCCATTTTTTAGATGTTAGGAAAGGATGAAAAATCAGAAAACTGGAGAAGTATAGCCAGGAAGATCGAAGAAAAACTAGAAAGTGGTATCCTAAAGCCAACTAAATATTATAGTTACTTGTTTGGTTTCAATAGTGTAATATCATTAGGGCCAATTTAGCCGGCTAACTCTCAAATTTCCAGGAGTATTGAGTAGTCCAGAATAATTAAATTATTTCTTAAAATGGGGCTATTTAGTCCATTTTCTGCAATAAAATGGTTCATGACCCNGAGCTGTTGTTCAGCATCTCAGCTGCGGAGGGCAGTGTCACTGGCCCTCATATGTGGGATCCGAACCAGGGCCCTCTGGTGTCTCAAGCCAGTTCTTAACCATCGCGCCACTCAGCCGGCCCCCTATCGCTGTAATTTTCAAATTTTAATGGACATAAGAATAACTTGAGGTGCTTATTTAAGTCATATATTCTTGGGCCTATTTCCAGTGGACCTGACTCAGTATATCTGAGGTAGGGCCCAGGAACAACCATGTTAAGCAAAAACATCAAGTGATTCTGTTGTAGTTGGTCTCTAGACCATACTTTGAGAAACATTCCTCTATGGTGTGTTCAGAACATATACTTGGGGGAGGAAAGACCCTGGCAGTGCTGGAATAGATGCAGGGTAGATCTTTGTGATTTTCAAACGTCTTTTGGGTCTTTTATGATGCTTGCCTTGTTTTCCTTAAGCATTTTAGTGAGTTTAGAAGTCAGAATAGAGAAATATGGCAGGAACTATACATTTCTATCCCACTCTATCCCATAATGTTCCACAAACACCAAATTTACTAGAGACTGTTGGAGCTCGGTGGCCTGTCCCGATCATGCATATCACTGAATGTCTTGTGGAGAGATAGTTCCAAAGAATTGAGCTGTATTTGGATTGGTACGGCTCAGCAAAGAGCCGGTATAGCTAGCAGCAATTCAGAGTCATATGAGAGAATGGGTCAGGTCCCTGGAGTTGTGGGACAATCATTCAGATATGATCGCACCCCAATCCAACACGTACCAAAAGATAGTGTTCTTCTGTCAGGGCATTGTCACAGGCTGGTGGGAAAAAAGTCTCAGAGTACCTGCATCTGTATTCTGGAAGGCATGAACGCACCCCATCAGAAGTAGGGCTTCTAGCACCAGCATGGTAGCTTCCATTGGACTACAAGTGTGCTGGAAGTTTTGATACTGCCAGCTTGCCTCAGGAACAGTTTGCTTGGCTGCTGGTTTCTGGACAGAGTCTAGAAAAACCATAGGCCTTGCTAAGGGAGCAACATGCCTGCTCTGAGGCAGACCACAAATTCTAAGATCTATAGGAAAAAGTGGGATACGTATTACACTTTGGGTTACAGTATTTTCGTGAAACTACATAGTTATCATGAGCAGCTAATTCTCAGGTTTGGCCACGAATTTCAATTCCACTGGAGCAATGAAGGCTGCTGCAGTGTGTGGCTCCTGGGGATGTCATTCACATAGAACACAATGGGTATGGAGTTCTGTGTAATATTTTTAATACCGTAACACTGGGGGAAATTTGAAGCAGAAATAAATGTGGTTCCTAGTTATTAGCCAAAGTTTATAGTTCCTGAAACTTCTTAGGTTGGTCGAACTTGTTGGGGAATTGTAGGGTGACAGATGCAGGTGCTGAGGTTGCTCTGTGATGAGATTCATCCTTTGATAGGGGCCTCATTACACCAGAGTTGATTTTTTTCCCACTCCCCTCTCAACTGGGGGCTTATAAATGGCATAGTGGCTTGCCTACCCAAATGCAAAGAGAAAGAGAAAGCTGGAATCCATTTATTATAAGATGATCCCTAAAGAAGCCACCAAGCTTGAGAATAATAATGCAGACACCTGAGCTAGTATTTAAGGGGCATTGAATCAGCTCTAATCAATAGGCACAATAATCTGGACAGAATCACAGCTATCTCCACTTAGGTGGCCAAATGGATGGACTATTTAGAACTTCCTTAAACTCCTCATTATTTAGAGTGGCTTTATTCCATTCCAAACTGAGTGAGCTAAATGAAATGAGAAGTCTGGGCCAAAACTAAGCTATGGCTCTGCTATCGACACTGAAGCTTCTACAACCAGGCACTACCGCCAGGCATCCTTCAAAATCGATTCCAGTTAAGCTGTAGATTCCCCATCACAGCCAAGCTGGAGACTATATTTATTATCACTGGAGATTTTAATCTCTAACCCTCCTGAAGAGGTGGTTTATGAGGAAGCCCAAACTTCAAGGCCTCTGCGCTAACATATTTAGGAATGCTATGACCTTCCACATGGCCTTGGGTATTCCCAAGTGGTATTCCTGTATTAGTATTGGGAGTGAATGGGCAGAGTAAGCAGGGATTGACAGAACCTGAGACGTTAACTTCAGAGCCTGCAGATGCCATAGCTGCACAAAAGCCTCTATCCCATGGGTGACAGGTATAGAGTGTAGGAAGCCAAAGAGTGGAGAGCTAGTGACAGGTTTATTTCAGAAGTGGGTGGAGACTTGCAAGGTGAAAAGGGACTGAAGTGAAAGCAGGGAAGGCCGAGTCACCAGGAGTGAAGCCATATTTGAGAGAGAGCAGGACAAGCAGGGGTTGAAAGCTGAAATCTAATCATTCCATCTCCAGAAGGAAAATATGGGTCAAAGTCAGGACCCAGGGTGTCATGGGATCTGGAGGTGCCTGGGAGAGACCCTGGGTTGATATGTCAGAGCTGGTATGGAGGAGCAGTGTCTCTTAGAGGAGGCGACCTTGCTTAGTCTAAAGGATCCTCAATGTGTCTTCTTCTAGTGGGAGGCCTCACACTTCATTCATTTATCTAGCCATAATATATTAAGTATCTACTATATGCTAGTCACTTCTGTAAAATGTGCATATAAAACAGTGAGAAAAAAGACATCCAAGAATTCAGTGATACCCTGTTTAACACAACATATAGGAAGAAGTTTATTTTTATAGAACCAAAATAACTCTTAGTCATCATGTATCAGTCTTCACAATGCTCTTTCACAACTTCGCTCCTGGCAGTGGGCCCAGCTGGTGGGCCCAGCACTGCTGTTTCTTAGCATTTCCCAACCAAACAGGGGCATTGTTGCCTGTGGCTCTGCGTCCGTTGCTATTTCACTTTTTTGTTCATGTCAGCAGAGCTCCTTAAAATCCTGTGGCCATCTGTGCTTTATGTGTGTCCTGCTCAGGTGCAGCGTTAAACGTACCTTATTTCTAAGATAATTTTGTTTTCAGAAGCCCGACTTTCTACAACTGTGTAAAAACATCTTTCATGAATGGTGGTTGGAATGCCTGTATTGTTAGTTAGGCTTTAAGTAAACCAATATCTATTACCGGATCAAATTCATCTCAAAGAAACACTAAAAACTTTCCCTTTAGAATAATTTAGAGCCATTTATTGAGTGCTGACTATGTGTCAAGCATTGTGCTGAATACATAATAGTATTTATTAAGCACTTAGTGTATGTCAGACATTATGTTAAGTGTCTGACACTGACAGTATCATGTCATTCAACTTTCACAACAGTCTTGTGAGGAGCATACTGTTATCCCGATTTTGCAGATGAGAAAACAGGCACAGTAAATAGCTTGCTGAAGTTCTCATAGCTAGACCTTGACAGAGCTGGTGTCCAAATTTCAGCAGCATGACTGCAGAGCTTTGGTTGTGAACCTTATAATGATGATCCACCTCATGTAACCTTCACAAAAGTCCTAGGAGGTCTTCATTACTACTGCCCTTTTACAGGTTGTCATTATTACAGATATTAGAAACTGAGGCTTTGGGGGAGTTATTTGTCCACATTGGTTAGGTAGGACAGTCACAATTTGGACCCAAGAAGTCTGATGCCACGATGTCCTTCTGCTCTGTCCTGCTATACTCTACTGCTAGTAAGTGCTGCAATAGGTACTCAAATTCTGCCTGACTTCATACTCCCTAACCAACCCAATATAGGTCCATCTGGAAAGTCAGTTTCACATGGTTTTGTTTGTTTGCTTCTCTCTTTTTTTTTTTTGGTTAATGATTTGTACTAAGATCTAGAAGCCATAGGATAACTATTGTGGCCATTTAACATTTAACTCCACTGGAGTTATTGAAGAACTTTTAGAAATAGAATATCTTAGAATGCTTTGTGTGTGAAAGTTTAAGTTGATTATTTATTTGACAACATTGTGTTCCAGAGAGAGCATGTTGGAATGTGTTTGATAAAGAACAGTCAGAAAGCTCTTTAATAATATTAGGATTGTCCATTTGAAGAAGTCTGGGAGACCTGAATACGAACGTATTATGAAATGATAATAGAAGTCAATTGGAAAAAGCAACGTAAATTACAAATATTAGGCTAACATGCGATATTTCCTAT